TCTCTCTCTCTCTCTCTCTCTCGCTCGCTCTCTCTATCTGTTCAGTACCTAGTTTTTAGAAATGCAATGTAAAAAATGCTGAGCTTCGTAACAAGCTAAACTTTTTCGAATGCAATTCTTTTTCAATATCTTGATAACGACTCCGAAAAACGTTACGCGTTTGATAGAGTGGATAGAACATTTGGTTTCTCACCTCAAAGTCTTAGTAACTCAAAAAGGACAAAAACGTCAGACAGACTTTGTAATTCTAAGGTAGCTATTACTAAACGTCCCTCAACTGATGTCTTTCAGCACTATCACAGGGGTTAGTTTTGATCGAAGGGATCAGGAGATTTTATCCCACCCGGTGGCACTGAGGTTCAAACCTTCTAAAGGACGGCCGCTGTGAGGATGTCTCCCGAAGAATCCTCCCCACTTGACCTTCCCCAGCAGCCAAACGGGGGCTCCGCTGCTCCCAGGACAAGTGGGCGTGTCGTAGGAGTACACACTATTCTCCCAGCCTTTGGACCCGCCCACCACCACACGCTCCGCCCACCGGCCCACGCTGACCTGCTTGTTACAGCCGTGTGGGTGGGACACCACAACGGCCAGCTGATGCTCGTCACCTCTGAACTTCTCATTGACCTTTGACTCCAGCCACCTCCAGCGACCCCAGGCGTCTTTTATGAAGTCGCACAGTTCAAGATCGTGCGTCACACAGCGCATGTCGCACCAGTCGCCCTGTATCGCACCAAAACGAACATTGTCTCCAAACACAGTTTTTACTTTCCCGTTCCTCCTGTCTTCGTGATTGTCAAAAAACAATTCCGCCACAGAATTTTTCGCTTCAACGTCATCAAAAACAACATGAGTGGCCGTTCGTATTTTAATCTTGGCCCACTGGGCGCGAGGAGAGTCCGACTTCTTACACTCTGGACAAGGGCACGGCTTATCCGTCCGGCCCTCACACTTGTACACGTACTGAATGAACCCGGTTCCAGTCCTCAAAATCGTCCCTCCCTTGTTACCGCTGAACGCGTAGTTGTCCGGTCTATCGGGGCTGGTGTATCGACTGACCACACGGACAGTGAGGTCCGCCTGGGCTCGTATGTACGCCACAATATCTGGATCTTGATACCCCTCGGGTAGATTTTGGACGCCGAAGCTGGAGATAGGGGTGAACATCTCGTGGCCTGGGTGCTTGTCACAGTCAATGAGATGTCTCTGGAGGTCTGCCTCCCCTCGAAAGCTCATCTCCGCCTCGTGGTAGCCTGAGACAGGAGAAATTAATAATAATGATAATGATGATAATAATTAGGAGGAGGAGGAG